TCCGGTCAATAGGATGAATTTGTCCTTAATTTTCATCTCTATTATTCCCAACTCGAGCCTTAGGGTTGAGAAACGACTATCACTCAATGGCTTGGTGAGAATATTTGACAGCTGTTTATATGTATGAGCATACTCCAAAACAATGTCCTTCTTCTTGACATGGTCTCAGATGAAGTGATACTTGATATCAATGTGCTTTGTCCTGGAGTGTAGCACTAGATTATGGGTGATGACAATCGCACTAGTGTTGTCACACTTGATGCTAACTTCTTTAGCTATAACGCCATAATACTTAAGTTGTTGCATCACCCAAATAATATGCGCACAACAACTTCCTGCCACGATGTACTCCGCATCTGCAATAATCGTGGCTATCGAATTTTGCTTCTTACTGAACCACGAAACGAGTCTTCCCCCTAAGAATTGGTAAGTCTTGGGGGTGCTCTTTTGGTCTATCTTACAATCGGCAAAATCTGCATATGAATAGCCCACTAGCTCGAAGGATCCCCCTCTCGGGTACCAAAGCCCAACATTTTGCGTTCCTTTGAGGTATCTTAGGATCTTCTTGGCAGCAACGAGGTGACTCTCCTTTGGGTTTACTTGAAATCGGCCACAAACACCAACTGGAAACGAGATGTCAGGCCGACTCGATGTTAAGTACAATAGAGAGCCAATAATCTCTCGGTATTTGGCTTGGTTTACTTCATTGCCTTCGTTGTCGATGTCTATTCGCAACGAGGTGTTCATTGGAATCTTGACACATGACTTGCCATCAACACCAAACTTTTAGATGAGTTCCTTAGTGAACTTGGCTTGATTGATGAAGATTCCTTCTTTGCCTTGTTTGACTTGTAGACCTAGGAAGTAGTTGAGTTCTCCCATCATACTCATCTCGAACTTGCCTTGCATGAGCTTAGAGAACTTCTCGCATATGAATGGATTTGCTTCTAAAGATGATGTCGTCGACGTAGATTTGCACCAACAAAATGTGTTCTTCATCCTTGATTCGGAAGAGAGTTTTGTCAACTTGTCCTTTCATGAATCCACAATTGATAAGAAACACGAGAGGGTGTCGTACCAAGCTCTTGGCGCTTGTTTCAATCCATACAAGGCATTTTCAGCTTGTAGCCTCTATACATACACAAATCCATTTGGAACCCTGGAGGTTGCTTGACGTACACTTCTTCTTCCAGTAACCCATTGAGAAAAACACTTTTGGCGTCCATTTGGAATAGCTTAAAGTCTTTGTACACGGCATAAGCTAGAAAGATACGAATCGCCTCTAGTCTGGCCACGGGTGCGAATGTTTCATCAGTCATTGCCTTCTTCCTAACAGTAGCCTTTAGCAATGAGACAGCCCTTGTTCCTAACAATGACTCCTCGTTCGTCCAATTTGTTCTTGAAGACCCACTTCGTCCCAATGACATTTTGGTGCGAAGGTCTTGGAACTAGCTATTTTTACGACGGTGCATTTTAGTGTTTTGAAGGATTTTTAGCTAAAGTGTAAGCATTTGGACTTAATTTGGAGCATATTTGGAGAAAACTCTACAACATCAAGGGTCAAGAATGGGTTCACGAGCATGGAGATGGCGTGGTGAAACTTCAGCAAGTTGTCCTGCACTGGCCATGATCGTGAGCATGATTCTGGGAGTTACACGAGCATGGCCACGATCATGCGCATGTTCGTGGGTGGAGGCACAAAGACTATAAAAGGCTTGAAGAAGTTGACTTTTTGACAACCAATCTTATACTTTAGTTTTACATCTTTTAGTTAGCTCAAAAACTCTCCCAATCTAGAGAGAGAAAGTGGTTCTAGGGTTCAAAGTGAATTGACAACTTGCTTCAATCTTGGAGTTTTTTCTTCTTGCTTGATTTTGATTTCTTGTTGGATTGATTTTATTGTGAATTGAAACTAAGTAACTCCTGCATTTTCTCCATTTAATTCCTCTTTCATCTCCATTGATTGCTTCTATTTCAATTTCTCTTCAGTCTAGAACATGAGTGGCTAAATCTTTTTAGGGATTGGATTAGCATTTACTTGCATGGTGTAGTGTGATTGTTAATTGCTAATTGGAAATGTATTTGTATTGATTGCTTGATTTCTTGATAGAAGTGGGAGGGTTTTTTGATTCTATGGTGTTAGGACCAACTCTATGGATGATCTAGGACTTAGTATGTTTGACAAGAGATTGCAAACATACTAAGAGCCTTGATTCCACTTGCATTTTTCGCCTTAGATCTAAGAGGGCAAAGTCCGGAATGAGGAGTAGGCAAGGTGTTCGATAAAATGTCTCATGGTTGTAACATTGTCACTTGGGTGCTTTGTTACACCATGATAGGCCAACAAGACCTAAAATGGCTTTGTCATTGGCAATCACCTCACTTGAACTCCAATTAGCACAATCATGCATTTTCTATTTTAGACTCTTGAAAGCACCACTGCAAGGAAAGTCTAATCCATGCCCCTTCCATCTTATTTGATTCTCTTACTTGAGTTGTTAGCTTGTTTCTCTATTTGCACACCTTCTACCTTGAATTTTGCACACAATGCTTGCACGTACTTGGCTCTAGTTCTTAAAGGGTTCTTGGCTCTCTTGTGACTCACCACACATTGATTACATCCAAGTTTGTCATCCTCTTGAGAACGACATCCCGAGGAAGTTCCACCTTTCCCAACCTTCTTTCCATCCACCGCTACATTACACATGTATCAATGGGTGAATAAAAAATCTATATGTTGAAAAAGGCATTGTATGGATTGAAACAAGCGCCAAGATATTGGTATGACACCCTCTTGTGTTTTCTAATCAATTGTGGATTCATGAAATGTAAAGTTGACAAAATCCTATTCCGAATCAAAGATGGTAATCATATTCTATTGATACAAATCTATGTAGATGACATCATTTCTGAAATTACTAACCCTTTGTTATGTGAAAGTTCTCCAAACTAATGAAGAGCAAGTTTGAGATGACCATGATGGGAGAACTTAACTACTTTTTGGAATTGCAAGTCAAGCAAAGTGACGAAGGAATATTCACCAACCAAACTATCCCTCCCCCCTCGCCCTAGCCACGCCGTCACATGTGGCGTAGGCGCCGACCCCTTCATTGCCCGGTCGCGAGCCTCCGCGGCCCTTCGCCCCCCCCCCCCCCCCCCCCCCACAACCCTCGCTTCCTTTCCAACTGGGCCGACCCAACCCAACTCCTCAGCCCACCTTCTTTCCCACCATATCAGTTGACCACTTGACCAAGATAGACCCATCAAACCGGCCCACAACCTATACCCCTATCACGACCCAACATCCAATTCAAAGCAAATTATTCTGTGGACTTAGATCCATTTTGCATGGTGAATTCGGGCAAATTATACTGTGGAACATGGTCCATAATGCATTGTGATCCATACATTAAATATGCATTGCAATTTTATTTCAACACAATTACAGTATATAATTTCGTTGGACAATATACACTCAAATATGTGAAATTATTATTTAGTTTTATTTTGTATACACTGCAGTTTTATTTTAACACAACTACAATTTCATTTCTATTCAAATGCAGAAAATAATACTCGAGACAGTGTCAATTTAGATACACTATAGTGCCTGCCATTTTGGACCATGGTCCAGATTATAATTGCTATAGTGCTTGCCGTTTTGGGCCATGGTCCACAGTATAATTGCTAGGGGTTCAAATGTTTACAATTTACATATTAAGGGGGCGTTTGGTTCAGGTTATGTAACTTTCCCAGGGAATGTCAGATAACCTCCGCATTAAGTTTTTAGCTATTGGAAGGGAATGTGAGACATTCTCCAATTTCTTAGGTAATCTCACATTCTCTTGTCTTATTACTAATGTTGGGCTTTGGACGTTTTAATTAATTTATCTTATTATCGTTTTCTTATTTACATATCTCAGTTTTAAACCAAACATAGGAATCTAACATTCCCAACAATCTAACATTCCCTAAGGTAATCTAACATTCCGTGAACCAAACGCCTCCTAAATGTCCATAATGTTAATATATGTAATTGATTATCTTGTTTTGTATTCGCAAATTCTTTTCAAATAATATTAACATATTAGGATTTAATAATTTTATATTTTATTCATAAATTCTCTGTGTTTTGACTTAAAACACAATTTATATTCTAATAATAATGTTGAGAGCTTTTGCCTTTTGGAAAAAAAATTAAAAATTTCAACCTCAAATGCATGCTAAATACAATGTTTTGAAACTCCCAAATATCAAATTTGGTTAATTGACCAAGTTGGTCAAACCAGCTATACCCAAACACCCCCTCTTAATCAAATTTGAGTAGGCAAATTGCAATCGGTATACTGTGCACCAGGGCACACATAACAATGTGCGTCCCGCGCCTCTCAAAACGATGTCGTTTTATATTCTGTTATAAAATTCTGTGTTTTCAGATATAAAATTTTGTACATTCGAAACATGAAATTTTATTATGTGTTTTCTATTATATAATTCTGTACATTCGAAACATGAAAATTTTCAGTTATAAAATTCTATATTTAAGTATAAAATTTTGTATTTTTAAGTATAAAATTCTGTGTTTTCTATTATATAATTATGTACATTCAAAATATGAGGATTTTTAGTTATAAAAATTCCGTGTTTTCAAGTATAAATTCTGTGTTTTCTATTATACAATTCTGTACATTCTCTATTATACAATTCTGTACATTCAAAACATGAGGGATTAACAGCAGACACGCGAAAAAGGTACAAAACGACGTCGTTTGGTGCACGGTATAATTTGCCAAAAAATTGGGCATCGTTAAAACTTTGAAACCAAAAGTTTGATAAATTAATCTTTAACCATGAAATCTAAGAATAACATTAGAAATGGATAATCCAAAATTTTGAAAATTGCAACTTTGTTAATAAAGTTAGAAAACATGTTTGTTCATCATATATATAAAAGCATGAAAACAGAACATATTAAACAAGCCAGCACCTAATGTCCTTCTAAATTCTAATCCAACTGCAATAATTTTTTGTATGATAAACATTAGTGAAACAGGCATTGCATGAAAAATTTTCAGGATCCCAGTTCAAATGAAGGAAGGTATTTTGATGACTGATAAACAAAGAAGCAATGAAGCACAAGGTCATACCACAGAAAACATGAATTATAATAAGAAACCAAGAAGATTTGAAGCACATTTATCTATGACCTGTGGCAGGCAGCATTTCAAAATGGGGTAAAGCATCAAGGAACGAACAGGTGACGATTCTTCTTCAGTAGACAATGAACTAATAATGTAAACAATTGCAAAAAAAAAAAGACTGCAATTCTCACCTAATCTCTGCCTCATTTGCATTAGCTAGCTCCCATCTTGTCCTTCTCTCGAGTAGCACGCAAAAGGTTTCTTGCATGATCACCGAAATTGTATAAACAGATAACCCATACCCGTAATCCCAGCATGCATCTCTCGATCAAAATAAGGTTACAAATTTGGAGTTGCCAATTCTCCAAAACACACTTCTTTGCAACACTTTTGGTCCATCAGGATTATAATTTAATGCCACCAAAAGCTATGAAGGGTAGCAAATGACAGCAGTACATGACATATCACTATCCACAATCCACAGACCTAATTGTACAAGCTGTTGCTGAATCAAATTTGTGCTCGTCTCTGAAGACCAAAACACAAATTGTTCCTGTATAGACAACGTTCGGCTAGCATCTAAGGAACTGATATTTAAACTAGATTTGTTTTCATCAAAGGTAGTGAATTTAACTCCCTTCTGCTCAAATAACTTTTTAACCACATACACGAAATTCTTTCCTGTTGGATCTGAATCGCTTGATGTGGTTGTGATCAATTCAGCACCTAATTGGCTCGAGATACTTTCACCCCAAGTCTTCGCAGCAGAAGATGAGCTCCTGGCAAAAACTAGTTCTAAGTTCTTCCCCACAAAGAAGTCATTAACTGCATCAGTATCAATGAAATTGAGAAAGGAATCACTGTTCAGAGGAACCCTGTTGCAATCAGCCACCAGAATACCAAATCCAAGTTCCAAGGTTTTCTTGACCACATAGGCCTTGACAAAAATCTCCTTAGTCAGTTTCACAGCAGATTCATTGAAGTTCGATTTGTCATAGACTCTTATATTGTCATAAAGTCTGTCTGTATCAATCACAGGGTGCCCTCTTATCGCAAGATCAAGTAGGAGATCAGATTTTGGGCCCATTAAGATGTAATTCCGAATATACAACCTCTCGAAATGGCAGAGCAAGTTCCTAACAACCGACTCTGACTCCTGATGTAGGCTCACAAGTATAACATTACTCATTTTCTGCAGAGAGGGGATAACAGACCCAAGTTCATTGAAATGCTGTACAATTCTATCTGGAAAAACTTGTTTGAAGCAGAAATCATACCACTTCATGCTATGCAAAGGGTGAAATTCCAAGTGGTTGATATCAATAGAATTCTCACCAACTAAATTTGAATCTGGTCCAACTGACTTCCCATAGTTAACACCAGCATCACGATGTGAGATACTAAGCGCTCTTTCATACAGAAGGTTGGTATAGATATTGAAGTAACCACGAGCATGAATAAATTTGATAAACCAAGGAGTCCAAATTCTTTCGCCCATTTTTTTGTACCATCCTGTTGTAACCTGCAAAAGTACACAGTTGTGATGCCAAAGTGCATTCACGTCCACTTAAGACCAGAGAAAGAAGGAAGAGAGGGTGCAGCATACATTACCATCCCGTCAAGAACAGGCTTCATGCCCTTAGACTTGTGTGTGTCATACCACAAACGGAATTCTTTCCAAGGTCTTGGAAACAGAAGTTGACCCCAAGTGCCAACTAACTGGTACAAAAAGACTCGAGTTCTACTATCTATTTTCATTTTGTTTCCATGCTTACCTGTTGGTCACAACCAATTCAGACCACTAAATATAAGCAAAAAATCAAATGCAGTGGCAACTGCTTCAAGTGTCGTTTGAAAAAAGTTCCAATAGCCAAACATAAAATGCACAAGAAGTTTATTTTCCGACTAAGTGACTCATGCACAGCCTGGTATCTATCATCTTAATATGCACATAAATAAAACCCCCAAAACACCATGAATTCTGTTTATGTGATTAAGATTGCAACAAGTGTTAAACTTACAACACAACAATGTTGATCAATAATGGCCCAGCTCATAATTTCATGACAATAAATGAATTCATCATCAGGTACATATCATTATATGATAAATTATTGCACTTGTTTATTGTCCTTAATCTATCTAAATCCTAGATCAACAGATGAAAACCCTAACACAAGCCAGGATTCTAAGAAAAAACAAAAACCCCCAAATTTACAAATAGCTGGTGATACGGGACTCAAAAAAATCTGAGAAATGCATAGTACCTGGCACAAACCTCGGACGCTGCAGGGATGCCCCGTAGATCATCGGACTGAAATTGGAAGCATTGTAGTAATAATTCACAATCAGATTCTTGAGAAACCGGAAGTACAAAGGCGAAACCTCGAGATCATCCTCGACGACGAAGGCGAACTCGTCGTCGGAGCTAGGCCACCAGGCCTCCAGCCACTGCGCCTGCAGGCCAGCGTTGGAAGTGCGGTAATGCACGACCTTAGCGCCGAATTTCCAGCCAAAGGCATCAACGAAATCGAGAATGCGCCTGGAGGAATTGAGGTTCCGGTCGACATCGAGGGAGGCGTTGGCGGGGACGGGGAAGTGGTCGATGAAGATGTGGAGGTGGACGGCGTGGTGGTCGTAGTGGGCGGCGGCGAGAGAGTTGAGGCAGCGGGAGAGGGAGGAGAGGCGGTTGTAGGCGAGGAGTTTGATGATGAAGGTGAAGCTCTTGTTGTCGGCGGTGGTGGTGATTGGGGTTTGGAGGTGCGAGGGCTGAGGATGAGAGGTGGGGTGAGTGGGAACGGCGGCGGGGATTGGGGTGGCGGGGGAGAAGGAGAAGAGGAAGAGGGCGGAGAGAGAGAGGAGGATGAAGAGTGGGATCAGATTCTTGAGGTTCTTCTTCGGTTGCGCCATGCCACAGATCTGCTCTGCAGATACTATTACTATATCAAGATCGATGCCAAGTGAAGCAGTCAATACAACTACTGAATAGTGCCGATTTTTGTCTCTCTCTCTCTCTCTCTCTTTCTTTTTAAATAGAATTTTACATCAAGATTCAAGAGAATCAAAATGAAATCAAACTAAAAACGCAAGAAAAAAAAACATCGAAGAACAAGCAGCTGAAGTATATGTTTTGGATCTTCGAAAATCTGCCCAGAAGTGTCCAAACTCGGCATGTGCGGGATGCTACAAGGATGATTGCGCCCGATTTTACACCAAAACACCAAAATCCTGTTTATTAACTGAACAAATTTTTCAATTTTTTGAAAAATTGGATAACTGGAAACAATTTTCCTGTTTTCTAGAAAATCTGCCCAGAAGTGTTTTATTGTTTTTTAAACTATAATCTACCTAGGACTATGTGGTCTAATGGTACCCGGGTTGGACTTCCATTTGGAAGGTTGTGAGTTCAGGCGTTATTGGCTCTTGCTTTTCAGTAGGTACTTTCTCGGTCCGCCACTGCTTATAGTTTATTTATTTTAAGTTACTAATAAGTTAAGCTCTGTTTGCTAATGTTTCCAAATAAGTTCCTAGCTTAAAATAAGAGCTTATTTGGCTCTCGGAGCTGAAAACTAAAGAGTTGTTATGATTGAAAGTGTTTGGTAAAATTAGTTTTTTGATAAGCTGATAAATGTAAAAAGACTAAAAAGGATATCTTCATAACATTTAAATTAGTTTGTTCGCATATTAAAATTTAACATTTAGTCTTTTAAAAAAAAAAATTAACATTAGTGTTTTCAAAAAAAAAAAAAAAAAATTTAACATTAGTAGCAATATTGTTGCAAATCTCATAATAATAATAGGAGTGAATTCCATTTTTGGTCCTATTGTTATAGGGCTTTTCTAATTTTAGTCCATCATAATTATTTTTGCCACATTGCGTCCACTATTATTAAAAGTGTTCCAATTTTAGCCTACTTTAAGATTTTCTGTGGACTAAAATTGGAACACTTTTAATAATAGTGGACGCAATGTGACAAAAATAATTATGGTGGACTAAAATTGGAATGCCCCCTATAACAGTAGGACCAAAAATGGAATTCAATATAATAATAATAATAATAATAATAATAATAATAATAATAATAATAATAATAATAATAATAATATTTGCGGTGAAAATAAGTTCTGCCAAATAGAGCCAAAGGCTCTGTTTGGCAAACCTAGCTGAAAAGCTATAAGGTAGGAGCTGATAGCTGAAAAGGAGCTGAAAGCTAAAAAGCTATAAGCTCGGAGTTGAAAATTGAAGAGCTGTTAAACTAGCTGTTATGATTGAAAGTGTTTGGTAAAATTAGCTTTTTGATAAGCTGATAAATGTAAAAAGACTAAAAAGGACATCTTCATAAAATTTAAATTAGTTTGTTTACATATTAAAATTTAACATTTCGTCTTCCAAAAAAAGTAAACACTTTTTAAAATAAAACTATTAGCATGATTATGATCTAGCATACTTTGGGTCTCCTCACTAAACTGCGGCATTTTAGCAAGTATCTTCCCTCTCTTATTCAATACTCCAAACGATCTCTCAATACAACTTCGAAGAGAAGAATATGCACGATTGAATGCTTCTTGAGCATTAGTTGGCGGCTCTTGTTCAAATTGAGATTGAAGCCATAATAATAATAATAATAATAATAATAATAATAATAATAATAGTAATAATAGTAATAATAGTAATAATAATAATAATAGAAGAAGAAGAAGAAGAAGAAGAAGAAGAAGAAGAAGAAGAAGAAGAAGAAGAAGAAGAAGAAGAAGAAGAAGAAGAAGAAGAAGAAGAAGAAGAAGAAGAAGTTTCAACATAATTGTTTAGCAGGAAACAAGACTAAGGAAGGGATTGACGTGAAAGTTGTGATAGGGGAAGAGAAAGGGTTTTAATTCATAAGGTTAAAACATGTCATTACTTTAAAATAATAAGGGTAAAGATGGAAAAAAAGTTAGGAAGCTGGTAGCTTATTTTGAAACGCTACCTAATATAGCGTTCCAAAATAAGCTCTTATTTTAAGCTAGAAGCTTATTTTGGGAACATTACCAAACAGAGCTTATAGCTTATTAGTAGCTTAAAATAAGCTATAAGCTCCTAGCTTAGCGTTGCCAAACAGAGCCAAAGTAGCGTTTCAAAATAAGCTAGTAGCTTCCTAACTTTTTTTCCATTTTTATCCTTATTATTTTAAAGAAATAACATCATTTACCATTCTCAATTAAAAACCCTTTTACTTTCCTTTATCTACAACTTTCACGACAAATTCTTTATTATTATTTACAACCACATTCTCACTATTATCTATTTATATATTTATTCATGATTATATTCATTATATCTTCTTTTACTTATCACCAAGGTTATCAAGGCGGACTTTCTAGGCGATAAGCCGCCGACCGTCTAGTTGACTAGTCGACTAGGCGGCCGCCTAGGCGACAACTAGGCGATGAGTAATATATATATATATATATATATATATATATATATATATATATATATATATATATATATATATAAACATTCAAATCAAAGTTAAGAACCAACATCACAGAATACTATAATACTAAATATCCAATGTCTCAATTCTCAAACTCCCAAATCTTAAACATCCATTAATTAAATCCTTGCCCTTCACCACCATCATTATGGTCATCACTCTCAATTCCCTCATCATCATCATCATCATCATCAATATCTTCATCATCATTTGGGAAAGAATGACGCGTACACGGGTTGCTTCTCACAACAAGTGCACACCCAAGGAATCACTCCAGAACCTTTCGTGTCCTATAAAGGATCTTACCTTGTAGACTCTTGGATTTTGAGATCCCGAACTCTACAATTGCCTCGCCAAACTTCCAATGATCTTCTCAACCCTCGGATGATTAAACAAGGCTAAGAACTAGACTTAGGAATCTAGCACTTGAGATAAGAAATAAGAACAAACTTAACTATGTAATATAAGTAGTAGTTCTATTTTTATTTTTTTTTTTGGATTTTTCGGATATGTGTATGAATGTAAAGAACAAGATAGTAGGATATGCCTTCTCAGCTTGTAAACTAGCTTCTCACTAGCTTACTTAGATTGAATGCATCTCACAAACAACCTAAACACTCAATGCAATTCTCATGAAAAGAAAAAGAGATAAATTCTCATTTCATTCCAAATATTACAAGCTCATTTGAACCATTGGGTAATGGGGTTTTTATAGGGAAAAATCAGGGATTGCAAAAATATAAAATATTCTAGGTTTCATTCCTTAGCTATGAAGTAAATAATTAAAAATTACAAGTTGCAAAATAAACCTCCTCTCCTCCCTTTTTGCGTATGAAATCAGAATTTTGTAGGCTGAATTTTCTTCCAAAGCTTGATATCTTTCACATGGGTTTGTCATAAGCATTTAATGATTTGTCTCCTTGAGTAAGCTAGTTGCTTGAGGTGCTTGCTTGAGCTACTTGGTTGATGACAAGCAAGGAGGTGAGTGAGCAGCTAGGTAGTGATGAAGTTGCACAAACTAGTAGGTGAATCACTAAGCAAGCAGGTGATTCATCAAGCTAGTAGGTGAAGCACACTCCTTAAGCTAGTAGCTCTCTTCAAAAGTCTTGATGTGAAGGCAATTGAATGGAATTGTTTCTCCAGATTGATCTCATTCTTCATAAATAGCGGTTGTACTCCAATTTGCTTGCACAAAAGTGTTAAAAGCCTCTTGAATCTTTTTTGACTTGGATCTTGTTGTCGGGCCACTAGACTTTGATGGGATCATTTGCTTGTTGTCTTTGGGTCTCATCAAAGAATCTTCATCATCTACTTCATCGCTCAAACCGCCTCCCAATGATGAAGTATTGCGACGCCAGGAATATTGTATAGGTGCGCTTGTGCCTTCACCTGCATGAGCTCTTGTAGGAAGATTTATTCTCTCCAAATTGACTGAAGCACCAAGCACTTCATCAACAAGACTCCAAGTAAGGTCATCACCGATATGAACATTATCATTATGATTACCATCCACCCATTCATTTTGCCATTGAAATTCTTTAAGAACTAATGGGTTGAAGTTGGTTCCTTCTTCAAGCCGCTTTTGAAACTGACTAACTGTAACACCCCACTTTTCTTAGACCTTATTAATAAAACTTAACATAGAAAGGGATACTAAACAAGCATAATAAACTTACTAATCAAACTTTAAGAGGTGTCACAGCTAAAATCACCACACACGGAGATTGCACAGGCAAGGAAAAGATCTAAACAAAGTCAAGCTTACTAACTTTAAACAAACTTGGGGAATAACCCCGGTGTCCAACACCAACAAAAACATCTAAATAGGTCTACAACCAAGTCTCAAAATAAACATAATTGATAAGAGTTTAGACTACAACTAGCACTCTAAGCTAAGCTAGTCTAACTCGATCGCTCTCAAGAACTAGGCCCACCTGAAAGAGGTTAACAAACAAACAAGTAGAAAACAACCTGTTAGCACGAAGCTAAGTATAACGCCACTCAACCCTGTAAAATACTATAGCATATACTTTTGAAAAATATTTGTTTCACACACTTAGATCAAATATTCTCAATCACTTTAAACAACATTCAAACATACTCCACAGTATTTCTATATCCTTGCAATCTAATTATCAAATAGGCATACTTTCTCAATCATTTAACTCATCTAAAATCTCATCACATATATAACTTATCATGGCGAAATACACTAATCATGCCCAAGCTCATAGGTAAGAATATACTTAAATTTTAACAAGTAATCTCATGCTGTCAAGATAATCAATTAATGACAATATAAAGTCATGTTTCCTATCATACTTTCATGCAACATGTGCGAGTCATGTAATCATGCAATAAAATGAACATGATGCTTATTCGAATGAGGTTTCTTAGAGTCACAATGACTCGCTTTTCTCTTCTTTCTCTAGAGTCACGTTGACTCGCTTTCTTTCTTTCTTTAGAGTCACAATGACTCGCTTTCTCTCTTTACTTTTACTCGTGGGCGAGGTAGGAACTTCACCATAATGTGAACGGACTTATCTGGGCTCGGCATCTAGCCGGCCTAATACTCATCTCGCCCACAGAACCACTCTCTTGATTTTTTTTCTCAAACTCTGTGGAATCAAATATCGTACTTGTCAGTGTGCACACCCACTAACCGGGATTCCAAGCCCGGCGGGTAGTATCCTACCTAGTAACTTGGGAATATCGACCTC